AAGGAAAGACCGCAGATTGCCATATGTTGCTTAGAATGATTAGGTAAATTAAAATGTCTAGCGACTGGTTTCGATGTGTCCTAAAGGTTAAACCTATGTATGGTTTTTTTAAGGTTCTTTGAAAAACCAGTAGAGTAATATATGGACATCGATTTTTAGAATTGAACTCTATAGATCTATTTGAAGAGGGTATTCTATGTATCCTATTTAGGTTACCCTCCCCTTGAAATTTTGGACAAATTCATACTGGGAGGAACTAAATCGAATAATAACTTACAAAAACAGTTTGAATATACTTGTGGTTGATAAAGCTTTCTATAATCAATCACTCAGTCAGTTTATACGGGTTAAAGCGTCTGATAACCAAGCCGAGGTGATTTATTTTTCTAATCATATTTGCTTCCAGATCATGGTTTGACAAGTAGCAGCAGTATCTCAATCGGCTCAGAATCGACATCCTGTGAAAAGCTCCACAGTATCACACTAGGAACTCTAAAGAAAGTTTCAGTTGACTTACCGGAGAGTCGACTTCAAAACAGTAAAGGAGTCCCGGACGATATCCGTGATCTCAAGGGGGAATTGGAGGGAGCTCTTCTTCCTAAAACGTTCTCAAGGCTATCACGACAAATCGGGAAAATCCTTATTCAACCACAAGTTGGAAATACGATCACTTTGGAAGGTTCGAATTCCTTAGACACCATAGAGCAAGTAAAATCGAGAATTCATGTGATGAAAGGAATCCCACCAGAACAGCAACGTCTCATCTTTTATGGTAAACAACTGGAAGATAACCGTACTTTAGGTGACTACAATGTTACGAAAGGAGCGCGTTTGCACTTGAAGTCAAGACTTCGTGGTGGCATGCTTATCTATGTTAAGACTCTTACTGGTGAGACTATCACTTTAGAAGTAGAACCATCAGATTCGATCGAGAATGTGAAAACAAAAATTCACGACAGAGAAGGAATCCCACCGGATCAGCAACGTCTCATCTGTGCTGGTAAACAACTGGAAGATGGCCGTACTTTGAGTGACTACAATATTCAGAGAGAATCTACTTTGCACACGGTTTTAAGACTTCGTGGTGGTATGCAAATCTTTGTTAAGACTCTTACTGGTAAGATTATCACTTTAGAAGTGGAACCAGCGGATTCGATCGAGACTGTGAAAATGAAAGTTCAAGACAAAGAGGGTATTCCACCAAGCCAACAATATCTGTTCTTTAGACGACAAGAACTTCAAGACCACAAAACGCTAGGTTGTTACAATGTTCAAACGGAATCAACCTTGCATTTGCGACTAGAGGACGAACTTGGTAAAATACTTATTCAAGTGGAGTTTCCCAAAGGAAGAAAAATTTATTTTGATGTTTTACCAAGCGATGACTTTAAAAGCGTGAAAAGAATAATATATGATAGAGAAGGGATTCCAATCGATCAACAACGCCTCAGCCTTGTTGGCAAAGAAATTAAAGTCGACCACCGTCCTTTGAGTGAGTATGACAATCAGATTGAATTAGCCTTGCGACTGGATGTGAAACAACAGAATGAAGGTTTCCTACTTCATTTGAAGACACAATCTGGAAAAACAAAGATCACAATGGAAGCAGTGTCTGGAGATACCGTCCAAGATGTGAAAAGGAAAACAATGGAAGAGATAGGAATACCGGCAAATCAGCTACAACTCATGTTTGACGACCGGGAACTCGAGGATGAACAACGCACTTTGAAAAGCTACCACATCACTAGCGACTCAACCATTGAACTGCTAATCAGAAGAACACAAGGCAACGCTATGCACATTTACGTGAAAATGCAGAATGGTATAAGAGTTGTAGTTGATGTATCACCGGAGGATACCATCACAGATTTAAAAGAGAAATTAAAAGAAATGATAGGAACTCCAGTCAACAAGCAGTTGATCACTTTCGGTGACACAAAACTCGAAGGTGACAAGAAACTGAATGATTTCGGTGTAGAACATGGCTCAACAGTTTTTCTGATCACCAGCTCCGACACTCACAAGAAGTGCATCGTAATGTAAATAAATTGCACCAGATTGTTGTGCTTGATTGGAAAAACGAACATGTTTGACAGCTCCATAAAAAAATACTAGACAGACTTTGTCTCAACCTGGGAACAAGTTTGTGTTCTACTTGTGATGTTTGAATGAACCTTTTCAGCCCGTTGAGTAGAGCTGACCATGTATATACCGCTGATCACCGACAATTCCTGAGCCTGCATTTAGTTCTAAGATGGCCAATCAGGCTAAGTTAATTTCCTTGCACTTAGCTGAGCTGTTGTGACTGGAGACATTCAGACCATCTTAACATTATCATAGCTTACCCTAAGCAGGAGCTAGTGTCTGAAAGGCTCTCGAAACACAGATCAAAATGGTAGTTTATGAACTTGTTTCTCTTGCCTATATTACGAAGGAATAGGAATATCGCTGTTAAAAAATGGAACTATTTTTCCTTAAGAATTTTCATTTATCGAGAAGCATCTAGATCTTGAAGCATTTAAAAGATGTAGGAATGTACTTTACAATAACCTTTTTACAGAGAGACATTTGTACCGATAACATTTACCTATATTAATTTCTGAGTCTCCAGATATCACCAGGTAATTATGTAACAATCGTTTTGCCTTATGTGACAGCCTTAGTCTCTTTTGCAACCTTTCCACAGGATGTCACACCATTCTTTCTCGCGTGACATGCGAAGAAGGCTGTTACAATTACAGTCTTATTTCATAAATTATTCATCAGATTTCGTCATAAATGAGTAACAGTTCGCAGCTGTTTTAAGGCTAAGTTGGAAATTAGCAGAACAGATCTAATCTTTTGAAAAAATTTTAAATTCTCGACAATTTTGGTCATTTCAAAAGTTACTGCACAAAATGATATCTCAGAAGGAATTGTAGACGACAACATTGCAGAAATAGATCCATGAGGACACGTCGTTGACGAACATTTAGCAAAATATAGTTGCGGACCATAAGACTCAACAAGTTATTACAGACTGACGATATTAACGATTGAGGCTTTTTCAAGATATGCCTTTATAAATTACGAAATAAGGGAAGATACGTTTTTT